TTGTTGTTGTTGTTGTTGTTGTTGTTGTTGTTGTTGTTGTTGTTGTTGTTGTTGGTAGTGTTGGTAGTGTTGCTGTTGCTGTTTGCTGCTGCTGATGGTTGTCGTCATCTGCCGCTGTCCGGCCTAACTAACTGATCATCATCAGGCGCTAAAACGTTCGATAAGCGTCAAAACGTTTGACTCTTTGATTAATCGACTTGCCGATAGAGTGTGAAGCGGCGTGGAGTGGAGTGCAGTGGAGGGGAGTGGAGGGGTGTGGAGAGCTGCCGCTGTCTGTGGCTGCCACTTGGGGCATTAATTGGGCGCAAGCTACGAACGACTAACGTTTAATTGACGAACGGCTCGTCCGATCGTGCCACACGCATCTGTTGCCAGCCGTTGCCACATGCAACTGCCCCAGCTACAGCAACAGCAGCAGCACAAGCAACAGCAACAACAACAACAACAACTTAGGGAAATTGCAACACCATTTGGCCAAGCTCTCCGCACAGTCCGATATCCGGTTGACTTCGAATTGTTGTTGAACAACTTATTAAATCATTTTTCTGCATATTTCGTTGCACTTTTTTTTTCTCGTGCAACGGCCAAAAAAAAACCTCTCAAAAAAACAAAAAAAATCAACAGCAACAAAATTGAGGGGAAAAAATCAAGTCATAATAAGAAGTAAATAATAATATTGAGTAAATTCAAATGCAACGGAAGTGGCAGCTCGCGCGCTCTGTGCGAACCGTCGTATCTAGTTCTATATGGATCTGAATGGATTGAATGAGTCTTAAGTCAAAGCTCCCAGCTGCTTAATCATGCATCAGTTTAATGAATGACTGGATTAGTCACGCACTTTGTCATATAGGATCTATAGAATATCATCTAGTTCTAGATTTGTCACGCACTTAGTCATACATCTACATAGAGTGAAATCCATAGAATATAATCTCTTCTAAGAACTAAGCTAAGACTAACTAAACACCAGCAGTGTCTATTATACTCCTTATATATCATTAGAGTAAAGAGAGCATATTAGCTTTCGTATAGGTCTATATAATCATTCCTCCATTCGTCTTCTCATATGATTCGCAATCTTTTAAGTATTTAATTCAGCTTAAATGGCAATCGAATTTATCCAAAAAATTCAGATTTCATTCGGTATCGCTCTGGTAATAGAATATCCCGATCTATCAGTTAACCTTCTAGAATACGAGCTCGATTCGAGAGTGACCGGCGAAAGATCTTAGCAACTGAGATCAAGTGAGAGTGCTCAAGTCGATTAAGAGATCAGCCAAACCCCACGCAGAGCTGCTGCTTCAATCGATCTACTCTTGTCTTCTACGTGCATACATATATGTATGTCCATATATGGATCATATAATCCAATTCAAGTGCGAGCACGCAAAGAATGAAGAATCCGTTTATTACAACACCGCGTATAGCATCCGTACGGGTATTGTTACGGGTAAACCTATCTGAGTAAACCTATAAGTCGTTCTAACCGGGTCCCGATAATTGGAAATGGGATCAGTGGTTTTTTTTTTTCATCGAAATTCCAACTCTGGAGAATTATTCCAACTTGCATTTTCATCCACTTTCTTCAAATTCTAAAACTGAATATTAGTTTGGCTTTTGCATGGCTGTTAAACCCAAAAGTATTATCTTTAGATACTGACATTGCTTTAGTGATATAAAAGAAAGCATTACCAGTTTCACCAAGTCGCGCATAACGTCCACTGACCTAAAGTTCTACAGGTGAAAACGCTTTAATTTAGAGCAGCTTTCACGCTGAGTTGACCTCTTGCACCTGAAAGTGCCCGAGCCCTCGACACCTGGCACCAGCTCGAGTTCAGCTCAACATGAATTGAAGCCGAAAAACCTTGACAATGCGCAGACTTCAGGCTTCTGTGGCAGCAGCGGGTGCAAGATCAGGATCTGAGATCTACATACGTACGTATTTCCATTCATGTTCCATTCCAGGTTCTCATGCGCAGTGCTCGACCTCGGTCGCTAGCTGAGCGGAGCAGCATTTCTCATGGGTTTTCACCTGCGACTTTTTGCACGTTCCCATGCACCTTTACACTTGACGCTGGGGTGCGCAAGTTAACGCGCCACGCCCACCAACTCCCATTGTTTGCGAAGTATGTCGAGAAAGTTTTCGTTTTCGTTTGCGTTTTCATTTTCTGTTTGCTTTTTTCTGCATCTGATTTGTTTTTTTTTTTTTTAATTCATTTGCAGCTGGAATTACGGTCGAAAGAGTCAAAGAACTGGCAAAAATGCGCATTGACTTGCGGCAGTTGGCTGTGCAACATTTTACAGCACTTAAAAAGTGTTGCCCAACGACCGCAAGTCAAACTGATTTGGCAGCCTGAACGACTCCATTTACCATTTTATTGAGATTTCCCTAAACAAAGGGAAGTCGCTGTCATGGGGATCGTTTGGAGTGGGCAAAGGTGCTCTAGCCGGAGATACGAAAGATGGCTTCTGCTTCTTCTTGCAACTTTGATGCAAAGTTTATGAAGTCATTGCGATGGTAAATATTCAAAGCTGAGACTCAACTTTATCGCCAACAAGAGAGCCCAAAGTTTCCCGCTGAGCAGTTCATTCAATCAATGAATGAGAAACATTCATTGAAACTACATATATATATTCATATTTATACATAAGGAATAATGAATAAAAGTGTAGTCAATTTCAATCTCCCCAGACTTTATATACATTGAACCCTCGTGCTCTACCCAATAATGCGTACCACTTGGAAAAGCTAAGAAAGCCATCTCTAAGGAATCGAATTAGTATTTCACTGCCTTTACACATCTTGATTGCCCCAAGCGAGACAATTGTCCCTAAAATACAATAAATACCCCATTTCGGATTCAGAGAAACTTTCTCCATTCTCATTATTATTAGGAGCAAACGGTGTGCTTCAATCAGATCTATGGCCGAGTGAATCCTATTGTATATATAATCCTGCGACACTCAAACTGCTTTTAGCAATTAATTTAAAAGTTAAAGTCTGTGTAGGCAATTAAAATGTTAATAAACTAAACTTGAAGCGATTCCAAATAATAATCAAATTCCCAGACCAGAGATACACGTACATTAAATAAATATAATATAAACTAAAATATTTAGAAAGCTTTCGGTAATAATCTGGGGGTGCATCCCAAGCAAAGGAGTTGAATATCTATGTTTTATTGAGAGCACCATGGATGCTGGACATTAATTGGACATTTTGCGCCCACATTTAGTAACCAGTGGCAACAAATTTGGGTTATTTGTCAATGGCAAACCAACTTTTAGGTTTTATTACGACAATGATTCCAAACATAAGGCAAATATTGTGAGGTGCTGGCTACTTTATAACTGTAAAAATGTGTTGGATACGCAAGGTCATAGCCCGTACTTAAGCCCCATTGAGAATTTGTGGGCTTATCTGAAGAAGAGGACCGCCGAGAGGCATCCAAAGAATACAACTGAGCTGAGAACTATGGTTTTGGAGGAATGGTAAAATATTCCAGTGGAATATGTCAGAAACCTGGTCCAATCGATGAACAGACGCTTGGGAGCCGTCATAGATGTCAACGGTGGCCAAAAAAAGTATTAGTTTTAACTAAAAAGTAGTTAAAACACTATAATGAAGTAATTGGTTTAGCTGTGTAAACACTTTCTTGTCAGCTGATTTTTCTTACTTCTTTTGTTTTTTGTTATTTTCTTTTGTTAATGAAAACATTTTGTTAATTTTTTTTACTTACTTATATAGTTTATAGTTCAATTTACGTATTCTCATTAAAATTTTTTTAAAAATTCATATTCTTACTGTTTTTATTTCGCTTTAAAGCAAAAAATTAAAAAAATTTCCCTGTGTGTAAACACTTTCTTGCCAAACTGT